TTTTTAACATGTAATTAAATAAGTGATCGCTTCTATGATGAATCTGTTGAATGATTCATGCCCTTGGGTAAAGGATATGGCCCCATGAAATATTGGAATAAATGGTATTACGAATCTAATCTGCCTCTACCACAAAAAATTGACAATTACATACTTGCAGTTCTCCTAGCTTCGTCTGTACATCACTCAAGTTACATCAAATTGTAAACGGTCTCCCCGTATGCATCACACGTTTAGTTGATTTTCTGGAAAATATCAAATGGCTGCTAAATTTCCTAAATTTGATGCTAATTTAACATATACTTGTGTAATTCCTGGGTTAATGTTATCTTCAACTTCATCGTTTCAAATTAAAGAATCTAAACTGACTGCTGCTATCTTCAGTTTCTTCGTCTATAGAACTCGATTTGCTCCCAATTGATTCATCTGAACTGTCATTCGAAACGAGCTTTTATACGGTCTGCACGCTCAATGACCCGGTCAGTGAATCCTGGAGTTGCTGCCAGTTCTGCCATAGGTTTTTGGGTTGATTCTTCGAGTGAAATCTTCCCATTCTTGCTTTGTGAACTTCTTCCGATTACCGTGTCTGGTGGAAAGTTGAGGGTAGTACACCAGGTTTCTTGTCCCTGACCTGGTAAAGACTGAAAGTACACCTGTGACAGGACAGCCAAACAGAACCAAATAAAATAGATGAGTTACTGTACAATCAACTTCAGAATCAAAAGACCCTGTAAGACACAATGATATGATACCTTCAACAGGAGAGTTTGACCATGCCGGTGGACTCATTGGACTATTCCACAACTTCTCTTTAGGATACGTTCTTGGAGACCTACTAAGAAACACGGCTGTACAATAGCCTGCCTGAATTGATCCCTGCAGAAACAAAGTTCAGCATTTAGAACGGAAAGTTAAATTCAAACACATAAATACATAAACATAAATCAAAAGCATGGGAAACTGTTGAATCGACCACTAACAGCCAGGCATCATAAAGAGGACTTAGCTACCAGCATTTCCTTGTCTTTTAGTAAAATCTGTCGTTATAACTATTACATAATGTTATACCTCCAACTACAACAAAATCATAATACACCCACCATTCATCCACCCATTTAACTTCAAGTCAAGTTGATTTGTTTGAAATTAGGTTACGGCCACATTCCATCATCAACTGCTAAAGAAACTACTATACATAGCTACATACCACCTTCCATCCATGAATTTAACTTCAAGTTGTATTTATTCAAACTAGGTTCAGAATTTGTACCACTATAATACAACCCACTTATAGGTGTCTGAGAGGGGAGAAGTTAAGGATAAAATCCAGGGGGGATGTGGGTTGTTGAGATTGCTAGTTGGTTCACAAACATGAACCTATCCAGGGGATGCCACCACAAATATTTACTAGGCATAGGTTCTACCAGGCCACACTTAACATCACAAGAGTCGAAAAGGAAGAACATTTTCAACTTACAGATGATGATGCTGCTTTCTTGAAGGAATTAGTGAAAAGATAGCACCACAAGAAGCCAATGCTGCAATTGCCATAAGAGTATTGAGAGTACTCTGGAAAGAATAAAAAGAAAGAAGACATGAGGATGAAGAGAATTTGAAATATAAGATACCCCAATACAGATCCATAATAATTTCAAAACCCTCAAACCCACTTTGCAAGCATACTGCATAAGCACAATTGTGTTTGCTAACAACTTCAGTATGAAAGGACTGCCAGGTTAAGATTGGTAAGACTATGACAGTGGAAAACTCAACCTGTTCCACATTCAGGGAGAATGCCATTTTTCAGTATAAAGTACCTAGTATCAGTTTACATAATGAATGCTGCTAAAGGTGGCATTGCTTGAAAGAGTCTATGTAGAATGCACATAAACACACTTGAAATCTAAAATTTGACATCTTATGGCATAGACCTCAAATCAAGGCCAGGTTCACACAAGTTTTAAGTCTCCAGATTCTCGTTCATTTATGGCAAATGCAATAGTAAGCATATCTCCTATCTTCCATGGTAAGATGTTAAATCTTTAACAATTAGTGACAAATAGACAACATAAGACATTTAGGCTAAAAAGGTCCCTTGAATGAAAACTCACAATGGAATGGAATAGTTTACTGTTAGCTGAGAAACCTCACAGTAAATCCATCAAAAAATGTGGATTTAATTCTTGGTCATATATGGAAAATGAGCATTAGCATATCTCTTATCTTTCCATAATAAAATGCTGAAATGTTTAACAATTAGTGACAGACAACAGAGGACATGCAGGCTAAAAATCCTCTGAATGAAAACTCACTAGGGAGAACAAATCTAATTTTTAATGTTTGGGCTTTCCACACAACAAACTGCTGTATCCATGCAACATCCTAGAGTGCAAATTGGACCACAGTAGAGAATATAGAAACCTTGCATGTATCAAGCACAGAAATGCACAGATATTGGAGTACCTTTAATGTTAATGCACAAAATAACTGGTAAAGATAGAGGCATTAACTGGCTTATGCCACCAAGAAAGACAACAACAAGATGCACCTTACATTGGCTTCCCCACTTTTTTGTTAGGTAGAGGTTTCCCATAATTTCATATGGGCTAGAAAGATAAAGAACGCAGTTCACTAGAACAAGTTAATTCATAGTATTTTCCTAAAAGTATTTTCCTCTCTAACCCCAATCACCCTCATCTTCACTTAAAGAAGAGATCACAACTTGTAAAAAGAGGAGGTAAATTTAAAGGAGAAAAAGCATGAAAGCTGGAAAATGAAATATGGATAATAAGGAATCCTCAAGTAGGCTGCTGCCACATATATGATCAGACAAAGAGAAAAGAAGGAAAAAAAAAAAAAAGAATGTATAGAATTTCGGAATTCCCACAATAGAAAGAAAATGACTGCATTGTACACCCATGACAACCACGTGCTTATTTTTTGCACGTGCCATTTGGAAATAAATGCATTTTAAGATCTGAAACAATAACAACATGGGGGTATTAAAGTGCAATATGTGATTTATAAACATGACTAAATGAAAATTTCCACATAGACCCCCCTTTAAGTTAAAGAAAGACGGAGATAGATAACACATAAAATTTGAATATGTCTTATGGACAAGGGTTGCATCACAGTGGCATAATTTAATATGTCAAGATCTATCGTGGAGGAGGGGGAGATAACACATAGAACTTACCTACCTACTTCTTTGCTTTGAAATTGGAGTTATGATTTTCAAGAACTCCATCAAGAAAGGTATTCTTGAATTTAAACATCTTTCATAAGTTCAATAATTATGGGGGGAAACTTTATAAATCTAGGTTTATAATAGCTTCGAAACTTCATTGAATCTTCTTGATATAAAAATGGATACAGTTCCTGCTCATTTCAAACAAGATTCACTCCCTCAATGAGTCAGTCAAGATTAAAAAACAGTTCAATAAGAATAGAAATCCCATTCTGTTTGCTAATCCCTTCTCCTAATCATTCCCACTCAACAAGTTCAGAATTTTTTGAGTTATGCATGTCATTAATCATTTCTTTAGATCTTCTTTCCTTATTAGATAATCAATTGATCACAATTTAATTACCTCATGATGATCTCCACTGGCTTCCTTTGTTCTAAGATCTATGTAGGGCAAGAATCACCTTGCAAATTACACACTTTTTTATATAGTTTTACGAAAAATTTCTTAGATGACTATATGAGCGAAGCAAATTCATGTATCATATCAATAATCGAAGTTGCCTAAGAATGAAATAGAATCCACAACAATTTCTTGAAGGATCAACTCACCACATACTGCCCCGATACTTGAGCGTATAAGGGCCGCTCTCGAGAGCGATCAAAATGGCTATGCACTTTATGCTTGCCCCTTCCACTCTGGTCCAAAAGTGTGAGATCGAAGAGAGCCCTGAATTCGGTGCCCTCACTGGCTAGGGCAACGAAAACGGAGACATAAGTAGAATTGTCTTCCGGGTTTTTACCGTCGGGATAGAAGTAGATGGCCCACTGGTAGCCGCCGACGGTGAAGCTCTGGCTGGCTATATGCTTCCCGATGCCCATGCCCTTGGCCAAGGAGTAGCCCTTGATAGTGAAACTGTGAGAACCGTTGACGGTCTGAGTCACGGACTGGGAGCTTGTGGGGGAGCCGACTGGGGAAGGCATGGGTGCTGGAACGCTTGGGTAATTTCTCTGGGAAAATGATGGAAAATTTTGAGGGGAGAATGAAGGGATGAGGAAAATGGAACCTGTGTGCTCTTTTGAAGATATAAAATGTGTGCGGAGGTCACCGATGAGGTTGGAACAAGTAAGCGGCTTGAGCTTAAGCAAGATTTTGAGTTACAGACTTTGTATATGTAGCAGTATTTGTTGGAGATTCATCCACCATTTTTAGGTGCGCAATGTGAGTTGCATCCAGATTAATCAGGGCGAAGTCTCGGATAGCGGGC